TTCATGTATGTTTTCCAAAAGTTATGTGGACAAAGAAGTTGGCAAACCTTAAAAGCATAAGGTAGATTATGCAAACTTATATGATTGTGTTATAATTACAAAAAAAAAAATAAAAAAAAATAGCTAATCTAATTAACAAACCTTTATTAAATATAAGGTATGTAATGTAAAACTAACGTAACAATATAATAGTTGTAAGAGTTTTTGAGTTGTATCGGTTTGTACATAGTTGTACTAGTTTTTGAGTTGTACCAGTTTGTAAATAGTTGTACTAGTTTTTGAGTTATACCGGTTTGTACATAGTTGTACTTTGACAGTGAAATCAAAAAAACTAGTTGTACCACATGAAATTTAAACTTACCTCAGTTGTACCACCTTTTTATGTGTATATATGTCTTCGCCCAATACAATGAGATCATCGATTTTGTTAAAATGCATTTCATATATGTTTTCCCAAAAATATGTGGACAAAGAAATTAACAAACCTTAAAAGTATAAGTTATATCATATAAACTTATGGAATTGTGTAATAACTTTTAATTTTTTTTCCAGAACTTCAAATATATTAGGAGAAAAAAAAACTGACTACATACCATTTTGGATATTTGATAGTATTCTCATATGGAATACCAAATTGGTTTGCCAATTTTTTGAAATGTCCAAATTGTACCAGTTGTACCAATAATACTCATCTAATATATAATAAAAAATTATAACAATTATATCAATTGTTTATATGTTTAATTTTAGAAGTTGTACCAATATTTTCATAATAATATAGCTAATTTAAGTTTGACCAAAAAAAAATATAGCTAATTTACGTAACAGACCTTAAATATAATATATATATATATAATGTAAAATTAAGAGTGTAACGTAATAATTTAACAAAAAAAATCAAAACTACAAATAAAATAGATGAAATTTTGTCATCATATACCAATTAGGATATATGTTTGTTTATTTCATATGTAAAATATGATTATTAGTCGTTTCAATTATAGTAATTGCACATTGTACATGAATTATAACATTTATATATCAGTTATACTAGTTATATTAATTTTTAACATGTTTAGTTATACAAGTTATACTAGTTGTACCCAATTTTCTCTTATCATCCGACGGATCAGATTACATCTCGCATTATCTGATCTAATGGTTCACATTCAACTTTCATTAATGGCAAAAGGGTAATTTTGATACTCTTGGTCCATGATAGATTAATTTTGGTTGTTGGAGATTTTTTTGAACCCATTTGTCTCATTATAGATCTTGGTCCGGGGGGGGGGGAGGGGTCCAATACAGATTATCAATAACACGCAATCTGTTGATATTAAACTCGGATGGTGACACTATAACCACTAAATTATACTATATGTTTCTCGTACACTAGAGATAATTATATACTGTTGATGTGTGTCTACGTATATCTTTACGTAGGTGAGGGTTTCATTCTTGTTTATGGGCTTGAAATATCGGCCAGTACTTAAGCCCATAGGTCTAGAGTGATATACGAGAATGCATATACTTAATTTAGTCTAATGGTCTGGACCACCTCGTCTTGTTCTCGTCAAATCTTTCCCATTGGTAAGCTCAAATTACTGCTATTTGATTATTTGGAACTCAGACAAAGTAACAGACACACTGCAGGCTTTTGATTGTCCAAAACATTTACATATTTTCTCACAAAACATTTGATTTTGAGATCACAAATCCATTAACTGTTTCTCCATTTTCCCAGAAATTTAACTTATGTCAATGAACCCATTTGTGTTTTGAGTGGAATTGAAAGCTTATTGGTTCAATAAATCAATTATATGTTCCAATTAAGTGTCTCAAATGGTAGAAAAAATGAGAGTTCTCTCCGCTTCAATTTAGTTATCGTTGTTGAATAAAATTTCCGTTTTAAAATAAGTACCGTTTTATCATTTCAATCCAAAATTTATTGATTTTATTTACTACTATATTTATCCATTGGTTGAAATGTGGTTAGGTGTATAAATAATTATTTTTAAAAAAATATATATAAAATTTAATGTTTTTTTAATATGTGAAAAAATCCAAAACTACAAGTAAATTGAAGTAAATTAAAACGGAGAGAGTAGTAAATTAGAAGGGTCTCAACTTTTTAACAAGGTTAACTTAACAGTTTAGTATTTGATTACTTAATCATTTGGTAATATATTGTCCTCATTTTATAATAATTGCATCTACGTATTACCATCATGATTTAGTTTTTTAATTAATCCCCAACCTATGAAAATGTTCAAATTAATCTTTAACTGGAAGTGCAACCCACATAAAGATCTTTTTAATTTATAGTTCTATTGGAAGGCATTGCTTTGTTTGCATATGACATATTGAAATAATCCATGTTATCATTTCGTTAAAGAGCATAACATTGATATACATTTTATGAAAATGAAGGTTTAATAGTTTGCGACTGTCGAAATCATTTTTTACAGTCATCCGATAAACTACTACCAAAACTGACCCCATGTAAAGAAAATATGTCGCTGAATTTATGCTTCGTTTATGTTGGCTCTGCCGCCTCGAACTTGTGCTTTCGGTTTTGGTTTGAGTTGAGTGGCCTTTCCAGATGCTGCTCCGGGTTTGGTGATATCCCCGTGAATCTTCTCTCGACGCCTACTTGTGGCTTGTTTGATGTGGGTTCACTTTCTCGTGGTCCGGAGACGCCTCCTCCGTGAATCGAGTGTGTGTGTCTCACTTGGACTTGTCTTTGTCTCCCATCTCCCCTGGACTTGGCTTTCTCTTGCAGGTTTTCTTATAGGGTTTGGTGCATTCATCCTCTGGATTCGTTAGCTCTAAGATTATGCTTTCTATTATTTCCTAGATCTTACTATGTGTTTTGAGCCTTTTAAAGCTTTTTTGGGGTTTCAGTTCACGATTTAGCTTTGTTATGCAGATTGTGTTACAGGTTCCACGTATCTCTACATTTCATTACTCTTAATGATATTAATATTCTTATCAAAAAAAAAAATGTATGTTTCCATAAGTTGGCCTAACGATTTACTTTGCATTAGCTGAGCTAAGATAAAAGAGCAGTAGAAAAGAAGCCACAACACCAAGGCATGTTGCTTGGTGATATGAGCTTAACTATCTAATCTTACTTGAGAATTGGTCTTTCTAATAAATGTCAACTTTGTGTTTCGAGAGAGCAAAACACGGCCTGAAATTTTGGACCCGATCCATTTATTACGCTCATATTTTAATCACTTCCAGTATTCCTTCTTAATGACTTTTAATTTTTGTTATACTACTTGTGGTGGTATTTATGAATGATGACGACATTTTGTATGCCGAACCTTCAAAAATCATCAAATTTAAATTTACTCTCTTTCAAATTAGATATTTTAAATTTTTACACACAAATTAAAAATAGCTAATTGTCTGATTTATCCTTATATGAGTATTAAAATTATATATTACTATTATTTATTTTTCTTAATTTAGTTAAATAAAAAATAAATAAATCAGGTAAAAATCTCATTGAAATAAAAAATATATATTTGTTTGATAACAAAATTATATATAATAACACGTAGACTGAAACACAAGAAATATAATGTGTCGAGAAAATTAATTTTTTTCTATGTTAATAGATACTAAGAAATAAAACAGATACTAGAAACTGTAACAAAAAGCCAAAGAAAGTGAAAATTTTATTAAAATGGAAGGATAATGAGGGTCATTAGATTTATGTTCAAAATGGCTACTGATACAAAAGTTGGAACCTTCGTTTAGATTTTAATAATCGTTACTCCAGAAAGTACAGAGTTGGCAATTATTTTATTGTTACATCAATCCGTTCGAATATTATTAAACCAATCAAATGTTTTTTCCTCATCTTACCGTTCTCATTAACCGTTAAGTTGCAGCTAATTAGAATGTACATCACTTTAACAATGTGCATGTGATCGCTCTGTAACTCCTATATTTTTTTCTTCATCCGACATATAACTTATCTGTCACGCTCACGCATCTTCATTCAAACCACTACTGTCTACATGATAGTCTCAAGACTCTCAACGGCAGCCAAAAACACCACATAGACAGAAATCTAATGGATAGGATGTCATTTTCCCCATGCATTTTCCCTAAGAATTTTCGCTCTTTTTCATGTGTTATAGTGTTGTACACATCATTATGAAAGGTAACTGAAACAGAGCAGAAGTAAAGATCATAGAATAAGTTATATGGAGTTATTGAGTCAGCTAAGGAAATCTCCACCTGCTCTATATTTTATTCCAAAATGGAATGATATACAAATTTTTTTTTTCTATTTATGGAGTAATGTTTTTATTTTTGCTCATTACTCTATTATACTCCATTTTGGAGTAAACTATGGAGTGATATTGGAGATGAAGTTATATACAAGATCTTCTTCCTATTATGTATATGGCATATGCAGTTCCACATGAAAAGGCTTGGATTGCGGTAACTACAAACTAGTCAAAGTGCTTCCTTATCTGCACCATGTGTCAGTAGTAAGCTATATAAAGCTCCATTACTGATAATTGCAGTTGTCAAGTTTATCAAGTTGGAAAATTATCTCTTTAATTTAATTATTAGATTCAGTGACTTATCCACTAAAAGTTATTAAACTATAATTATTATTGTTATTAATTAATAAATATGGACTGAAAGTAATAGTCTCTATATATCCATGTAGCTCATATGAAAGTTAGTTACAAAACTAAACTATAACTACTTATCCGAGTTGTGCTAAAAAAAACTTATCTGAGACTTGTCTTAATTAGATGGGTTCTTAAAGTTTTAGACATGTGTTGAAGATTTAAAATTAAAAAGATTCAGAGATGCAGAGCCTTTTTAATAACGACAGATGCAGGTATATCTTACAGCATCTAATATTTTGTATTATTCTCCATTTCTGAGTATTTTTTGCAGTCACAATTATTTTTGGATTTACTATGAGTCTATGAACCAAGTCGCTTATTATAAAACAAAAACGCCCTGCCATATAAATAAACGACAGTAAAATTCAAAAACAAGGGCTAAGATAAGATCTATAAAAAACATGAAGTCAGAGATTAATTAAAGCATATCATCCCACAGGATAAAGCATATTATCCTACAAGTCTCAGATAACATAAAGAAACAAAAATCCACAAAACTGAAAAAAACTATAACGTAAGCGCACATATACCAATATAAAATATTATGGGTAGCTAATGTTACGATTCTACACAAATTTTAATTATACAAAAAATAGAAAAAAAATATTCTAAACCATAATGTCTTTAGTTTTCTCATCCATCTCTAATAAAGAAGACAACGGCAAGAATCTTACGGACGTCGAGGAAGTCTCATCGGAGGAAGAAGAAGAACACGACGTGAAGAGTGACAAAGGAGACAACGGAGATTCTCCAAGACTCATACTGTTACAACAAGAAGTGCTTGCTTCTCCGGCGGTGGCGCGTGAGGCCGAGACGCCATCCACTTCTTCTTTGGCAATGATGGGTTCCTTCGTGTGCAGTGCTAAGTTCAAGAGGAGATCGACAAAAGCCCCGAAGATGTATCTATGGCTGGTCTTGGCGTTAACTTTCAAGAACTGAAAGAGAAGCTTCTCAAGGCTTCTCCAGTCGTGGTGAAGCGCGTGTGCCTCTACCATCTCCTCCATGGATCTCTTGAAATCAGAGTAAGGGTTGTTTGATTCCAAGGACAAGAGCATGAAACTTTCATCCTCCTCTTGCTTAGTAGTTGCTTCTTCGAGTATAGAGTTGGATTCTCCTTTGCTTTCGAAGATGAGTCTCTTTGATGATCTTAGCCCTTTTATCACACTCTCTATTGACTCTGTACCCTCAGTTGGGTCGAGCTCAATGTCTTCTTGGTCATGGATAGGTTTGGTGAAAGTGATGGTTGCCCTGAAAGATATGGTTTTAGGGTTTTGATGACAAGAAGGCCATGGCCATGAAGTGGTATTTGTTGATGATGAAACTGCATTTGAAGAATTGTTCTTGTTTAGAAATGGGAGTTTCATCTCTTCTCTTTTTCTTTTCTTAGTGCTTCTTTAAAGAAAAGAAAAAGGATGACAGGAAAATAATTTATTTCTTTGTTTGTTTGGTATGGAGATTGGTTTCAAAGTAAGAAACTGAGAGAGTTAATGGAGTGAGGGAGGGAAGATTTTAAGGGTTTGAAGAGGGGAAGAACATGCTAGGTGGGTCTATTTCTTTACGTGTTTCAATATATTTATTTATTTTTATGTCTTCTTTTATTTGGTTGTTGTATTAAATTAATGGCTTCGAAATTTAATGTTGTTTGGTTGGGGTTCATTCAATATAATTCAGTACCTTTCCCCGGTTAAGTTGTTTTCGTATTTATTATAATGAATGATACTAGTTTCTTGTTTTCGTCTTCCGTTTTCAGAGCTTTCACTCTTTTAGACTTATTGAAAAATATTTAAACTTTTCTTTTTGGTTATTTCAAATTTTCTTTTCGAAAGGATTATAAAGGGTTTTTGGAGAAAAAAAGATTCACAAATGTTAATGTTTTAAATCTTGGTGTTTTAAAATGTTGCCAAACATCGTTTAACGTGCTGCATTATCGATGATAATACAGACGAATATGGAAATACTATTTACTGTATTAACGATTTTGAAAGTTAGTTAAGTGCTAATGATAGTGGTTTGCAAAAAGATAATTAAAGCTTTCCGTACTAAGACTACAAATATATATTGTACGTGGCATGGATACGTAATCGTAATTATATGGAAAGACAACATATTAGGTCACATTAAATTTTGGTCCATAACAATTCAAATATGTTGACAAAAAAAAAGAAATTCAAACTATGAATTTTCTTCATACTGAACAATCAAAATTTTAATTTACTTCCATACTGAATTTATGTAGCATTTCCGATTCTCTGATCATTCTTTATGTTTCTGAAAGAATGATTTTCTAACATATCACACATATTAAAAACATAACAATTAATTAATTACAGTTAAATTTTTAATTATTTTAATTATACACTTTCCCATAATTATCAGCCTATAATATTGATTTAACTAAATATTTTTTTTAAAAAAATATTTTTTAAAATATAAAAAGTACCTTATAATATAAAACAATTTATAAGACAAAAGGTCTAATTTTTTACTTGAATAACTATTTAGGTTGTTTCTATAAGACTTTATAGGTAAAAATCGTATAGACTAAGAAAATACATAAACTATATATCATTTTTTTACATAAATCTTTATATATCACGTGAATAATGTCAGTCTAACCAGTAAAAAAAAATTCTAGAAACATATGATCATGCAATGTTAAATAGATATAAAATATGCATATATAAATTAAGAAAACATTTATAAAACATATTTATATATGAGAAACAAATTATATATAGGAAATAACTGACACTTGGATCTCTTTTATTTATCATTTTAATGACTTCAGTATATTTTATATGTTTCAAGTAAAGATTCTTCGTTTTTATGAATTTGAATGTATGTAAGTTTATTAAAAATGTGAAAACTAATTTTATTATCTATGAATTTTAATAATATGAATCTTAATAATATATAAAACAATAACATTGACTAATATGGATATGTATATGAAGATAATTAATTTATTTCTTGTCTTAATTTTATATTTTAAGAAAAGATAATTTTATACTTATAAGTAAAATAAATGAAGTTCGGTTCTCTACACTAATTTGTGTTATCTGGTTTTTCTCAATAGCAAAACTAAATGAAATACTTATTATTTGATTCAAAATATAATTTTGAGAATTTAAGTCAAGACAAAAGTTAAAACAAACTATAAAATTAATCAATGAACTTAAGTTATTTCAGTAACAATTCTTTGTAAGTTTTAAACCAGATAAATCGGGAAACAAAAACCGAAAGAGAAATTAATAAATTTCATCACGTGACAACATATTTTAGATTTTAAGTATAAGTTAAAAAATTGTTAGATGGTAACTAAGCGGTTTATAGGAACTAATGACTACACGGATTATTTGAATCATAGGTGGAGCATATTCCTTTGTTTTTTTTGATTAATCAGGAGGTGATCCGGTGGCCATCAACCGACTAATACCCCTGAATCCGAAACCAGCTTGCGTATGTACCCTCATCAGGGCCTAAATCACTCTGTGGTCAGATGGACTGGGTCTGTATTGGGGTTTTATGTTCCCTCAAGACCACTAGACCAATTTCCATAGCCAGGTGGAGCATTTTTGTTAAAGAGTTATTAGATTATATTAATTTGCTTTTATTTTCACTACAAACTGTTCCAAAATCTTTTTATTAAGAGTAAACATTTTCAAATGTTTACTAAGAGTAAACAATTTCAAATGTTTGGAAGTAGAAATATTCGTTACAGAAATTTGAGGGTGGTGGACGAGCAGAAGAAATGGACCATTTGGTGGCAGGCACCAGCTGAGAGAATGTGGTCCACTTCCTACGAAATCTATCATCTTCCTCTCATCATCGCTGTATAAAAATCATGTTTTCTTCCTGGCTCTACTAACTTACAAACTCTATATAGTAATACTATCCTCAGCTTAGCTCACTAATTTTGGACATACTTGAAAACCCCCGTTTTCTAATCCAGTCCAAGAAAATACTACCTCGTTCTATCTTGCAACTTAAAATTTTAACTGGAAAAAATCTCTAAAAATGTTAATTAACTAATTTGTTTCCAAATAATTTGAATTATATGATTCTGCTTACAAAAACCAAGATTTCTATCAATGGGTTTTATCCTAGAAAAACACAATAGCTCGAAATCCGATGACTCCTCCATTATAACCTATGAAATATACATATCTTTGAGATTTGAACGAGGTTTTAACATAAAAGTTATCCTGAAACAAATTCATGACACAGAAACACATATGTTGTAACAATAATTGAGATATCATAAGTCATTGTATATAATTTTATTGTTTTTGGGTCCATGAAATTGCAGCGACGTGACTAAAGTGGTGAGGAGGGGACAGTGTGTTGGTGTCACGAATATAAAAGATATAGTATGTATATGTAGCTCAGAAGTTGGAATGTCATGTTACTGTTTCTGATCTTCGCATATAAAAGAATGGTTAAATGTAACGATTATCGCTTTCAAGGGAATGAAGGATGTAGGCCTAATCTTATCTGACGAATCCTTATTTCCTTGGGACCATTATTGTCTTCTCTTTAGTGTCCCTAATGGACATAGTTCACCCATTAGGGTGTTCCATCCACGAATATATCAAAATCTATAATGTTTATGGTAATTTTAAGATTAATATTTGACAGCGATCTCAAATGTTGCCAAAACCATGAAGACAGCTGATGATAACAATTATGCGTTATAACCAACGTGTGGTGGATCTTGCACTCGTATAGTATGAACAAAGCTTGTTCAAATCACTCACGTTATGATATATATAAAAGGGGTTGTACGATTTTGAATAAAAAACGTAAAAATGAGCAAATGAGGTAAGAAGGTAAAAGGAATAGATTGTACAAACGCGATGCAACGAGTTCGTGTGTCAAATTTTTAAAGAATTTTACGTCTCCTAACAAACTACATAAACCTACATATTAAAAGCGATTATACGAAAGCAAGAATCAAACGAAATTCGTCCGTACCTTCCGTTGTGTGATGAGCACATGGGTGGATGGCCTGGGGATGGACCCATCTGGTCATGCATGTTTGTATGCATTCGTTACATTATATTTTACACTTGTTTGTTATACAAATAATTTAAAACGATATATCATTGATTCATCGGTTGCTAATGATTTGGTCGATTTCGTTTCTAAATACGATTTGAATGAGGTGGCACGATTCATGAACCGTGTGGTTAGGTAGGTGCGGAGACCCCTCAAAAGTCGTTACAAGATTTCAACTACAGTACTTGCCGTTCTAATGACTCATTCTTATGTTTCATAGAAGATGAATTTTAAACATAGTGTCCACTTTTTTTGGTGTATAAATCGTGAGGATTCTATTTGCTTAGTGAGTTTGACTCAACCCGAACAAACAATGATATGCATAAGTTGTTTAGTCCGGTCTTTGAAGTCAGTTCAGTTAGTTGTTTTTTTTGTGAATAATGGGCTTTCAAGGACAGAAGATATTGGATGAGAATGATGGGCTTGATGCAATTATAGGCCCATAAAGAAGTTGGTAAAAGGAGCCGTTGTGAAGAAAAGGATATAACAGGGAATGGTGTGCTACTGTGCTTGATGCCATCACTAGATATGTATATGGAATTGACTGATATTTACCTCGATGTGACTGGGAGTTAATATATAAAGATGACCTTGGAATAGCCAGAACTTTGAATCCTATACAATTAATTGTTAACTAATAGAAACGAATCTAATAAACATAGAATAATAAAACGACGAGTGAAAACTGAGAAAGGTTAAAAGAAGAATCAATAAGATTTTGCTATAAATAATACAAAATGAAGCTTGTAGATTTAAGGGAACAACATCTAAAACACAGGGACCAGATCTGAAGTATTTGTTCTATTCTTGTTGGCTTCTCGTCTGGTGCACATCTCCTGTGAAACTTACGTCCTACAAAATAACATCAAATAGTATTATATAAAACCGCTTAATTTTATACGATCCCTTGCAAAAGTATCAGATAGACTTTCCATATTCCTGACTTCTACAGTCAATATAAGAATTATTAGGTGTAGTCGTGTAGAAGTAAATACTCTCCTGGAAGTATGATATTAATCTCTTTATCATCTGGGCATTATGTCGTGAAGGATGGGTCCAAAATCAAATATGTTCGTTGTCAAAGAGTAGATATATTTTGACGGTGCTGAAAAACAATAATAGATGCAAGAACAAGACATATGTGTCTATATGTAGATCAACTTACACACGTAAGATAGGTACATCTCCAATTACATCAGTTATGCTTTTTTTTTTTTTTTTGACAAATCAGTTATGCTTATTCATGTATAAATTTGGTATAGAAGCAAAGTTTGACGGAATCGTCACTTTTTTATTTTTATTTCAGTTATCAAAATTATTGTTTTGAAGACTAAAAAAGCATATGATATAAAGGGAAACCGTGCATGCCTAACAATAACAAACATTAATATTAGCAATGGTAGTCATGATAATTATAA